CTACTAGCAGTAGTGGTAGTGGTAGTGCTAGTAGTGGTAGTAGTAGTAGTAGTAGTAGTAGCAGTAGTAGTAGTAGTAGTAGTAGTTGTAGTAGTAGTAGTAGTAGTAGTAAGTAGTAAGTAGTAAGTAGCAACTAAGTAGTAAGTTCTACACAGTAAGCGAGCAGTAAGTAGTAAGTAGTAATTAATCAATAAGTATTAATTAAGTATTAATCAAGTAGTATGTAACAAGCAGTAAGTAAGTAGTAAGGCTTTAATTGCACTAAAGTAGCTACCAGCCTCTAACTGCACTAAAGTAGTAAAGTTTAAGCTCTAGTTGCAGCAAAATCGTAAATTTTGGCTCCTAACTCCCATCGTAGACTCCAATCCTTTTTTTCCAAGATGGCTAATGAACGAAATTTCTTCCCTTAAATATAGGAGCATTTTCTTAGCTGCAAAACCAGGATTTCCGGAAATACAAAGCTTTAAATCTAGGGGTATTTACTAGCACGGAGCACGGGTTAATCCAACTCCTGGTCGTCAATTGGCCATTTGTGCTGTTGCCCTTAGGCCACATGAGACCCGATCCCCACACATGTTTGACGTCCAAAATCAGGAGATATCAAGAGTCAAGAGTTTCTGCTCTGGAGATCGGGATTCCATTTTGAGACATTGTAAGCTTGAAGTTCAGGGTTCATCCATGCATCCTTGCCGACTGCGTGGTTCTGTCACAGTACTGCAGATTGGGCCGTTTGCCTAGCAGATCCAACCGTCAGCGGTATGCAAAGCAGAACCACAGGCAATTGCAATGAGAACAGCGGAGAACTTCAGCCCGAACCCGATAAGAGCTGGGCCTTGCAGTCCACGACAGGCGACCGTTCCTGCAAGAGTTTGGTTAGAGGGGCTGAAGAATGTGCAGAGGGTCTTGTACGCCTGCACGCTGATGGCCATGCAAAGCACCAAGATTCCATGGAAACACCAAGCGGCCGACCGGCCAACCTCGACGTAATGCTGGCCAATCGCCTGAAGTAGGAGGGTACAGATTTCGTGTTGAGGTCAAAAGCCAGTTTCCCGTCAGAGAGCAGCTCCCCAAGTCAACATGCCTTTGAGCGGCTACGGGCCTTATGCAAGAGCCGCTTGTCCCGATGCTGCAGCTGCAAGTTGCAAAGTCACATGCCAGAGCCCTAATCATGCCTTACCATTGGAATCTCACACCTGCGCATGACAGACGAAAGCGGCGGTAGTGTTAGCTGGAAGTGTGCTGAAGCCGCACTTAGAGACTTAGAGCTTTGCCGGGATGGCAGCGGCCTTTTTCCATGGAGCTAGCGCCCGACCATGGCCTTGGGCCAAGGGTCCAAAACGTGACGAAAACCTTCCGGGCCTTGTTGGAGCTGCTCGTGGCGCACCAGGCCAGCTTGCCCGAAGGCTTCGAGGCGGGGTAGTGGGAGTCTCCGACCCCAACAGAGACCCTCAAACAGTAGCGCACTTCTCAAGCCAGCCCCCAGACGCACGTTTTTGGAGGCGACCTGGCAGCGTCTCCAAGTGGCCCTGCTTTGCTGGAGCAGCGGCACAGACGGCCTCTGTCCTTCCCTTGCGGCGCGGAGCTGTGAGGCAGCTGGAAGAAGCTGACTGTACATGTATATACCGATATACCCGCACAGTGCATGATTAGTAGCAGGTATAACATACAAAGGACAAGGATTGAGCTAGGACAGGATACACACCAATACACATACTTTACTTCGAACATCCCAACCCTAAAGATCGGTGGTCCTGCCCCTCTTGCCCGTGATTTGTACCTTCTCTGAGAGCACAAAAACCAACACAAGAAGAGCACTGGTCTAGGGCCAGGTTTTGATGGAATCCGTGTGTTTTTGCTGTAGTTTTTTCTGATGTCTTTACGCAAACCCAGGAAGCCAGTGAGTGAGCGCACCCCTGCCCGGGAACGACGGCAAAAAAAAAACACATCCCCCCCCCACCATCTCATGGTGAGGAACAACACGCATATCGTTATCATCCGCAAGCACGAATAAAAGGGCAAACAAGACAAAAGTCTTGAACCGCCTGCAGTGATAACATCATGGCATCGTATCTCATAAAGACTTTTTGCTTTCACTTTGGCGGTGCGTTGCGCTCGCGCCAACGAACGGCGGCAGAGTGCACAGGGACAGGGGGGCAAATGCCTTCAAGATGTGATGATTATTTTCTTAAACATCCTGCATGCTAAACCCCCAATGGCCCAAATGCCAAAATCAAAGCATGTTGTATGAAGGATGACTGACTTAAAAGATTCAGGTAAATCCCACCCGGTCTCAATTATTTCAAGAATTTGTGGGCGCCAAGAATTGAAACAATTGAAATGAGCTTTCTGGATTTCAAGTATTTCAACTATGTCAATTCTATTTGATTGAAAGAATACAATCCAGGCGTCAAACAAACTTTAAAGGAGCCTCGCTCATACAACTATACAAGTGCACATATATGATAAGCTGCGACGATAAACATCCACGGTTCTATACCCCAAATTCCACACCCTGAGTTCCAATAATGTCAAAGCTTGAAATCCCAAATCGTTTGCTTTGCATCAGTTGGAGGCTCTGGTGCACACACTTCGCCTGCTGGATGCTTCCGAGACCTGGCTAAGATTGAAGTCCTGGCTTCCGAAATTGAATCTACCAGAGCGTGCGCTCGAACTTTTGTGTGTATATTTATATGCACCCCTACGCACCTACATACGCGTTTTGTGCATGAGAATGGTATAGCCCAGTTCCACACACGGACCTGTACGTATGAACGAAGGTAATGAATGCATGTACCTGTGCATGCATGCATGCATGCATGCATGTACAGATAGATACATAGATAGGTCGTTAGCGACAAATGAACAGATGGATAGATGGATGGATGGACAGATAGATAGATAGATAGATCGTTAGATAAAGGGACAAATGATGGATGAATAGATTGGCTGGCTGGATGGATAGATGGCGACTATCACTATTTGGGGGGCTTTCAGAACCAACGCGTGTTTCCTTAAGGAGCTTCCTTGGCCTTCCCGCGCTCTTTGCTATCACGGCTGCTTCCTGTCGTTGGCAGCGGCTCTTCGTGCCTTCAGCTCCGTGTGCGACCTCTTGGTGCCTGGCCAGGTCCGGAGCATTTGTCACCAAATGTGGCATTTTGGTTATTGGTGTTCCCACAGAAAGACATTTTCTGTCCTAATTGCTAGGCTCTCACACCTTCCTCAGAGAATCGGGCTTGTTACAGATCCCCTCTGACTGCACTTGGACTTGTAAGCATGATTTTGCTTACAGTTTGATTTTCGTCCCTGTGGCGGAGTTATGATAGGATGTTTGTTGTTTGTACTCTCTTTAAGGGCGGTCCCCCACAAAGGCTGGGTCAGAGAAACCTGTACTGGAACAGAGCGTGTTTCATCTATTGTCAAGACAGCTCAATCCTACCCAGGTGCTGCGGGTAGCTGATCAAGGCAACTGTCCAAGGATAATTGGGGGGTTGTTCACGCCTGGTCGGAGGAGTCTCTCCTGGATGTTTTTTGTGCTTGTTAGGCAAGCTGCCTTGGAACTGTTTCGTCTTACATTGGCAACTGTCATTGAAAACTGTCACGGAGTGTTTCGCTTCTGCCAGTGGTTGTCGTAGGAGAAAGCTGTCCTGGAGTAGTGTTTGTGTAATGGTTTGCTTTTTGCTCGTGTTGTGATTGGAGAGATCTTTCCTGCGCGTTTGGCAGGCAGAAAGTCAAACTGTCCCAGGAGTATAGTGCGCTTTGTACATTGTCAGAGAAACTGCCTGCATTTGTTGCACGCCTGATTGTGGTCGTAGTATCTGCGGTCGGAGAACTTTCTTGGAATAGTTGGGTGTTTGTGCGCATTTGTGGTAGAAAAGCTGTCCTGGAATAGTCAGGAATGGTTGAGCAGTTGTCCGTCTGTTCGGTCGGAGAATTCCGTCCTATGTGCTTTCTGGGTCTGGTAGCTGCTGGTCTGAAAAGTTGCATGTGTCTGATTATATCTGTGATCCGAGACAACGGTGGTGTCTGGTGGTGCTTACTAGCGAGGCGAAAACTGGCCTGAAACAGCAGCGTTCGTGGTCGGAGAAGTGTGTTTGATCGTATTGTGGGCGCAGCCAATCTTGAATCTTGGCACAGTTGCATCGGGAGAAGCTGACAGCTGGTCAAAGAAACTGTACCGGAATCGTTGTGTGCTTGAGCAGATCGAGTTTCTGATCGTAGCAGAAGACTGTCTAGCTAGCCAACCAGGCAGATAGATACACAAACCGATGGAGCGAATACGAAGTATCATTGTGCATGTTGCATCTCGTAAGCGGCATTGCTGAAGCCCTCCAGGGTGTGATACTGATCGGCTTGCAGACGCCCTTGGGACAGCAGCTCAACGGCGCCGGAAGCCCAGACGGGAAGAAGCGTGCTGCTGTGTAAGGCCTTTGCATGCACATCGTCCTTACTGCAGGATGTGGCCTCCGGGATCTTCTTTGGGTTTGGTTCATTCTGTTTGTCGTGTCCTGTTTGCACCATCTGCTCCTGCCCGGGGACCGGATAGCTGGGGAGACCCGCTCCATCGGCTCCAGCGTTCTGTTCAGTTGTGCACAGAGCTCTCACAGAGCGAAAGGGAGCCGTCAGTTCCTGAGACCCACGCGGTGGTGCAGCACTTCCATGCTCAGACCGGCCGCTTCGCCGTCCTGGGCCTTAGTCAGTGGGCCGAAACCACGACGTTAAAGGCAGCGGTGTAGCAATCCACGGCTTCCGAGGTGTGCTTGAAGGAGGGAGATCCTCCATGTGAGTGGTGGCACGGCTGACAGAAGACTCTGCAGACTCTCGTGCCTAAAGTCGCGCATGCAAAACTTAACGACACCATCGCCCCTCTTCCCAGGAAGAAGATCAGGCCACAGAATCTACAAGCTGACGCGGATCCTTCTTCGGCCTCATCGATTGCTTTGCAGGGTGCCAGAGAATGTGGGAGCTTCTACTGTACTTAACACGGATACACAGTCACAATGAATCCCAAGAACGGATCTACACGAGGAGAGCTTGTCTGGAGTCGGTTGCAGAGATCTTCGATGACCTCCTCCTCATGATTCACGACGAAGATGACGACAGCACGAGCGTCCTACATTCCCACCTCAGCGTCGCTCGGAGCCACATTTTTCACATGTGCAGCGCGCATCGGACCTCGGACTTCCACTGAGGCATCGATGTGGGATGCCTTGATGCAGTGCGTTCAGGACAGGTGCCTCCCATCTTCCGCCTTGCCAACCCCCCAGTCAGAGGGGAGTCAGAGTCGCCCCTGTCTTCCTTGCTAGTGAACGGCACGTGGCCAAGGGGGGGCTCCCTGCTCTTCCCCATTCGCCCACCTGAATATCTGAGTTATCTCTGTAGGGAAGGAAGCTTCGCCTGACCACCTGAGCGATGCAAGTGGCTTCGTAGTAGAAGGATTGTCTGTTCCCGGGCTGCGAGCCCGAAGTTTTGAAACAAAGAAACGGGAAGACCGAACTAACCGGATTGCCTTGCTCGTGGCTTCGATCTCATGCTCGCAGTCCCCGCGCCCGAATCGCGCCGTATTCGACGTCGCCTCATAGCAAGGCTGGACCTGTGCAGCAATAATGCCACCCTTTGCTCCGTCCTGGCCCGCCACATCTTCTCGGCCCGGAGCCTGAAGAGGGGGGCCTGTTTCCTGAAAGTCTGTGCACATCTTGGCCCGGGTTCAGGTCCCGGTGAAGCTCTCAAGGTCTCGGCATCGGCGGCTCGGCTCGCATTTCCTCCTCCTGATTCTACAGAGGCCAGAAGCGACGGCTACTCAGCGGGTCCTGCGGCTTCAGGACAAGGGCAAGGGCGGCAACCGGAGCGGGGGGGGGGGGGGGGTTTGAGGGCCTTTGAGAGCCCGCTGCCAGGAAGGCTTTGCCCGCGCTTACTGCAAACTCTACCAGCAGCTTTCCTAGAGCCTTAGAGCCGAGTTCCAACACCACAGTCTGCAGAATTTTGTCTTCCTAATTGCCACGGAGGCCTGATGCCCT